TTTTTTATTTGATTTTTTTAATCATTTTATTAGGGGCTCAAACAACTCTCCATACATACATCAATTGTGTCAAGCACATCTGTAAATATGTTGCCTACATCATTCTCAAAACATTTTCTTTCTACTTGAGCCCTTGGTATCAGCTCCTCATTTTTCCCCTCCCTCCCCGCTACCCCCTCCTCCATGAACACTTGATAGTTTATGTTATTATTATTTTGTCATATTTTACACCATCCGACATCTGCCTTCACCCACTTCTCCGCTGTCCATCCCCCAGGGAGGAGGTTATATGTAGACCTTGTAATCTCTTCCCCCTTTCTCCCTCATCTTTCCTCCACCCTCCTGGTATTGCCACTCTCATCACTGATCCTGAGGGTTCGTCTGTCCTGGAATTCCTGTGTTTCCAGTTCCTATCTGTGCCAGTGTACATCCTCCGATCCAGCCAGATCTGTAAGGTAGAATTGGGATCATGATAGTGGTGGGGAGGAAGCATTCAAGAACTAGAGGAAACTTGTGTATTTCATCATTGCTACACTGCACCCGGACTGGCTCGTCTCCTCCCCACAGCCCTTCATCAAGGGGATGTCCAGTTTCTCACAGATGGGCGCAGGGTCCCCACCCCGCACTCCCCCTCATTCACAATGCTATGATTTTTGTTTTTTTTTGGGTCTTTGATGCCTGATACCTGATCCCTTCGACGCCTTGTGATCTCACAGCCTGGTGTGCTTCTCGCATGTGGGCTTTGTTGTTTCTCAGTTAGATGGCCCCTTGCTTATCTTCCAGCCTATAGGACCCCAGATTCTATATCTTTTGAGTACCAGGCACCATCAACTTTCTTTCCCGCATTTGCTATGCACCAGCTTTGTCTTCAGCAATCGAGAAGGGGTAGGCTGGTGTGATTCTTCCATGTGGGCTTTTTTGTTTCTTAGCTAGATGGCCACCTGTTTATCTTCAAGCTTTTAAGACCCCAGATGCTATATCTTTTGATAGCCGGGCACCATCAGCTTTCTACCCAACTTGGTAAAGATAACTCTTTTATTTCATTTTATTTTTATTTTTTTTAATATTTTTATTAGGGGGTTCTTACATCACTTATAACAATCCATACCTTCCTCCAATGTGTCAATCACATTTGCACATATTCCACCATCATTTCAAAGCATTCTCTTCCCACTTGAAGCCCTGATATCAGCTCCCCTTTTCTTTCCCCCTCCCTCCTCACCCCGCCCTCCCTCATGAACCCTTGATAAGTTATAGATTATTTTTTTCATATCTTACATCATCCTCCATCACCTCTCACCCAATTTTCCATTATTTGTCCCCCTGGGAGGGGGTTCTAGGTTGATCCTTGTAATTCGTTCCCTCTTTCCCCCATCACCCTCCCCTAATTCTCTTGGTATCTCTACTCTCCTTGTTGGCCCTGAGAGGTTTATCTATCCTGGATTCCCTGTGTTGTGGGCTCTTATCTGTAGCAGTGTGCATGTTCTGGTCTAATCTGATGTATAAGGTAGAATTGAGGTCATGATAGTGGGGAGAAGGTAGCACCAAAGAGCTAGAGGAAAGTTGTGTGTTTCATCAGTGCTATACTGCACGCTGACTAGCTCATCTCTTCCCTGTGATCCCAAAACCATACCCAATGTGAATAGGGGGGGGGGTCGGCATCGAGTGGAGACCCAATGCCCATCTGTGGACCCAGATAACTCTTTATGGGAGTTGAAAGCGCCCTCTTTTTCCTGAGCAGCAGCTGGTGGTTTTGTACAGAGAACCTTGGGGAGCACAGTCTAAAGTAGAACCAATGTCAAGAGTTATGAAATTGTCTAGCACGGTCATAAT